TTACTAACTTTCTAATAATACACTTTGCAGAAAGGGCTAGGCCGTTCGTTACCCTTTTGTCCCTATTATCCATGGACCATGCCCCCCCAAACCCCTCTCTCCATGTTGCACTTCTTTGTTTCCTCTCTCTCTCTCTCTCTCTCTCTCAATCATTTTTTTTTTTTTTTCCCCAATTTCATTTAGAGGTATGCCAACATTTTTACCTGTTACAGTTCATGTGACCACACATTGTTGCAAATCCAATTAAAATGGAAAACGAGAGGAGTCGAGTCATGAGTACTGAATTGTTTAAATTTAATTTAAAACTTTAATGAGTTTGGAAATATATTAAAATTTGATTTGTTTATATAACAACTTGATTTTAAATAAATTTTTAATAAACTAAATAAGGGTATATTAGTTTTAATTGTGAGCAGTGAAAATATTTGGATGAAACATATATACTTTTTTCTTTTAAATAACATTAACAATTTTTTGAAATTTATTATTATTTTTTTAAAATCAAATTTTCAAACATGTAGGAAAAGGAAGAGGAAAGTAGAAGCCTTAAAATAAAGAATTGTGCATGTATAGCAAATAGAGGACCTAAAACAAACAAAAAATGTGACAGAAGAACTTATCCGATAACTTCTCTTCTAAATGCTACACCAACATATTTTCTTCGAACTTGCAATTCTAAAAACATATTTCTCAACACTAGGAAGACAAAATACCAGTGACCAATTTTTCAAGAAACTTTTTCATTTTTTTTTTTTTTACTTCTGTCAAATAGCATCAACATTTTTTGAAAATTGATTTTGTTTTGCATGAATTTAAAATCTAGCATTTTCAAAGCCGTGCAAATCGCTGACTCTGTTTAACGACTTCTTCATCATAGCCACCTTAGCCAGCCGTTCAGCGGCTCTCCAAGTCAGCAGCTCCCCATTCTCATCCGTAAGCACCACCTCCCTCTGCCGTTGGATAGCCTATTGCTGCTCTAACTGAATCTGATCCAACGGCTTGTGCGCGTGGGACCAACAAAGCCTGTTCTCTACCGTTGATCATCTGTTGAGTTGCTGGGTCCCTAAAACTCATCGAACTGAGAGCACATGGTGGGACCCAACTACAGGTGTGGGGACTCTCAACTCGACGAGTAATTCTCGTTCCTCTTCCGCGTAGAGATCACCGAGTCGAACAGTTCCAGAGCTGAGCACTGTGGGCCGTCCGTTGCAAGAATAAACGGCCGAGATCTCTGATCGGAACCGGAGGCGAAGCGGAACTCAATACGGAGATCTTGAACCACCACGCTTAGTGAACACACTTAGCGAAAGCTTCCTCGGCTGTCCCGTGGCTGTAGCAGCCTTTCTCTCCAAAACGAAGAGAGTGTACAGGAATTTCAATATGAGCGAAACGGGTCAACGATTGAGCTGATCCGTGCCGTCGATTTCCATTCTGTGACTGGACCTTCTCATCGTCACCGTCCGATAGCAACATTATGCTGGCAACTGGATTTCTCTCACGGCGGTCTTCGAGGACTTTGGCGGCTTTTCTCAGAGCATCAGCGACGCTGGTTCCTTGGCTACTGACTGACCCAAAAAAAACCAAAAAACCAAAGTCAAGATTCTCCTTCTAGAGTCTCTTCGATTAATTGATGTTGAGTTAAATAAAATATTTCCGTAAGGGTTATGCTTCTCTAGAGACAATTGGTTGGATTTATGAGGCTTATCATAGTTTTGTTTTAATAATTTGAATTATTTATTTTATAAAATTTGAATAATTTTCGAATGAGTAGTGTTTCGCTGGAAGAACATTAATCGGTGAATCAATAGTAACTTATTTTATTTTATTTTTTTATTCGTATTATTTGTTAGATTCAGTTTGTATTGTAATAATCTCTTAATCTCACATCTTTTTATTCGATTTTGTAATTATTCAGTATTGTAATAATTTTCAAGTCCGCTTCTTTCTATCCCTTTCTAGGTATGTCTTCCAACTCTATTTTTTTCAATCCCTTTTATTTTTTATTTTTTTTTTTTTTTTTTTTTTATTTTGGTAATAAAGATGGAAATTAGATTGATAATAGTTAAGCGGTTACAGATCTAGGGTAAAAAGAACCCCTAGCGTCTTCAAAAATTTGAAGCGAGATACAATTAGGAGTAGTAGAAAAAACAAGTAGACCCTCATGATTGAATCCTTCGTTGGCAAGCAAATCTGCACATTTGTTTCCTTCGCGGTAGGTATGGCTAATAGTCGAGGTGCCGAGCTGGTCCAGGAGGTACCTGCAGTCATAAATGAGATTACTAAGTTGATGACAAAGGTTGGAGGTACCAAGAATGAGGTTTTGCATGATGGTTGCATCTGTTTCCACTTCTATTCCTGTGAGATTAAGATCAAGAGCAAGTTTTAGACCATCTCGCATGGCCCAAAGTTCAGCTTCGATACTGGACGAGTGACCAATGTTGCGGCAGAAACCAGAAATCCATTTACCCGTCCAGTCCCTTATGATACCACCAGCAGCAGCAGGCCCAGGGTTGTTTTTTGAGGCACCATCGGTATTGAGTTTGAAGAGGCCAGGTTTGGGAGGGAGCCAAGAGATAGTGGATGGTGTGGAGGGGCGTGGTTGCCTAGATGGAGAGAGATGTTGCCATTCCATGGCAGAAGCAATGGCTAGGGGAGGGTTGAGCAAGTGAGGGTTGGGGGTGGAGAGACACCAAGAATTGCGATTTTTCCAAATGAACCAGCAAGAGATGGGAAAAAGGACTGACCAGTCGGCAGAAGAGTTGTGGGTTAGGTTGGAGGTACAATTGGATTTAATCCAGGCAGCGAGAGGGTGGGCGAAAGAGGGAGTGGCATCGGCTGGGATTTGGAGAGCATCCCAGAAAAGTTTGGCAAATTTGCAGTCCCTAAGGACATGAGTGGTGGTTTCAGGATGGGTAAGGCAGCGAGGGCAGATAGAGTCACTAGTGATATGGCGAAGAAGGAGGTTGTCTTTGGTACTAAGGCGTTGGTGAAGACTGAGCCAAAGGAAATGGGATATTCTAGGTGAAGTTCGACACTTCCAAAGCCAAGTCCAGTTATCAAAGGGAGGGGATGGGGGAAAGGGTTTGGAGTGTAAGTAAGCCGAGCTCGAGGTAAAGGACCCATCAAGGGAGAGTTTCCAAGTGAGGCAGTCATCGGTGGGGTTAAACCATTGGAGAGTGATGCTAGAGAGGAGGGTAGTGATAGAAGAAGGGAGGGAAAAGGAGAGTCTGTCTAGGTTCCAAGAGTTTGCCGCCCAACAATCTCTAACCAAAAGGTGCTGGTCCGAGAGGGTGAGAGGCCCTTCGATGAGGGATCGGAGTGTGCCAGGGCCTAACCAGTTATCAAACCAAAAGGAGGTATGGAGGCCATTTCGAACGAGGATTTTGGAGCCTAAGTGGAAGAGATCAACCCCTTTTTTAATTCCTTTCCAAGTGGGGGAGAGGGCTGAGGTCTTAGAACGGGGTTTGGAGTTCAGAACTTTAGCCCAGAGTTTATGTTTTTCAGCGAGAAGTCTCCAATTGAGCTTGGCCATGTTGACATTGTTTACTAGGCTAGCCTGTCTGATGCCTAACCCTCCAACTTTCTTTGGTTTGGCTACATTATCCCAACTGATGGAGTGTATTTTCTTTTGTTCGGAGGTGGTACCCCAAAGGAAGTCCCTATTGAGTTTGTCTATTTTTTTTGTAACAGACTTGGGGATGTGGTTGCATTGCATGACATGGTTAGGGATGGCTGAATTGACAGCTTTGATGAGGGTGACTCGGCCCGGGAGGGATAGTAATTTGGATTTCCAACCGGTCAGTTTATTTTGGATTTGTTCGAGGATGAAGGAAAAAGAATTGGCAGATGGACGGGTGTGGTGAATGGGGCAGCCAAGGTATTTTCCAAGGTTGGTGGTGATCGGGATTTGGAGTTTGTTGGCAAGGTGGGTCTTGGAATTATCATCCAAGTTGGCAGAAAAGAAGACTTTGGATTTGCTCAGATTGATTTTTTGGCCTGATTTGCAACAGAAGTCGTTAAGGACAGCGGCTATGGTTGAGCAATTTTTCTCAGTGGCTTTCCCAAAAAGGATTAGGTCATCAGCAAAGAATAAGTGGGATAAGGTGGGGCCGGATCTACTGATTTTAATGGGTGACCAAAGTTTCTGATCGCAAGCTTGGGTGATGGCAATGGACAAGTATTCCATGCAAAGGATAAAGAGATAGGGGGAGAGAGGATCACCCTGACGAATACCGCGGGAGGGGGAGAAGGTGTCTGTTGTGCCACCATTGAACAGGATTGACATGGTGGATGAGGAAATGCAAGAGAGAATGATGTCAATCCAAGTCTTTGGAAAATTGAAGAACATGAGAATGTGACGAATGAACCCCCACTCAAGTCTGTCGAAGGCCTTTTCTAAATCAAGCTTAATGATCATTTTCCCGCTGGTGCCTTTTGTAGCACGAAAGTTGTGGACAACCTCCTGAAGAATAACAACATTATCAGTTCCTTTTCTTCCCGGTATGAAACTGGTTTGGTGGGGACTAATAAGGTTGTCGAGCAGGGGTCTGAGGCGAGCAACAATGGTTTTGGTGATGAGTTTATAAATGGTGTTACAAAGGCTGATGGGGCGGTATTGGGTGACGAGTTCTGGATTAGTGGTTTTGGGAATGAGACAGATGTAGGTGTGGTTGATATTGGGGTCAACCGAACCAGTGGAGAAGACATCAGAGATGACTCTCATGACGGAGGGGGCTAGGATGGTCCAGCATTTTTGGAAAAAGACGGGATGGAGGCCGTCAGGGCCGGGGGCTTTCCAAGGTTTAAAAGACCCAAGGACAGCTTTTATTTCAAGGGCAGTGGGAGTTAAGCAGAGGGAGGGATGGTGGCTGTCATCGATTTGGGGAAAAGGGAAAGGAGGAGGGAAGGTGAGGGTGGTGGAGGTGGTGGCGGTGGAGAAAAGTGAGGAGTAGTGGGAGATGAAGGAGGTTTTGATACTAGGTTCATCAAAAATCCAATTGTCAAGGTTTAAAAGACCCCAGGACAGCTTTTATTTCAAGGGCAGTGGGGGTTAAGCAGAGGGAGGGATGGTGGCTGTCATCGATTTGGGGAAAAGGGAAAGGAGGAGGGAAGGTGAGGGTGGTGGAGGTGGTGTCGGTGGAGAAAAGTGAGGAGTAGTGGGAGATGAAGGAGGTTTTGATACTAGGTTCATCAAAAATCCAATTGTTGTTGGAGTCACGGATGGCTAGAATTTTGTTCCTGCGGCGACGAGTGAGCGTAGATTGGTGGAAAAATTTAGTGTTTTTGTCGCCATCCAGAACAAAGTTGATACGGGATTTGAGGGCCCAAAATTCCTCTTCAAGCTTGAGGATGTCATTGAAATCTTTGACAAGAGTTTTTTCCAGGTTGAAGAGGAAGGGGGAGGGGTGAGTTTCAAGGCTTTTTTGGACTCCCAAAATGCGGGAGGAGATATGTTTTTTCCTGTGGAAGATGTTACCGAAGGAAAGTTTGTTCCAAAGCTTGACGTTGGCTACAAAGAGGTTGACACAAGTTGAGAATGGGAGGGTGTTGTCATGCCAACTGTTTTTGATGACGGAGAAGATGCTAGGGTCAGAGAACCAGATTGTTTCGAAGCGAAAAGGACGGGTCGGTCTGAGTGTGGAAGAAGGGTCTGTGTCAAGGAGAATGGGGCAGTGGTCAGAGTGAACTCTGGGGAGGTGGAGGACTTTGGTTTCGGGGTAGAGGAGCTGCCAAGAGTTGTTGCACCAGCATCTGTCAAGCCTTTCACGGATTAAGGCTCCAGTGGAGCGAAGGTTGGTCCAGGTGAAGCGAGGGCCAGCAAAGCCCAAGTCAATCATACCACATTCATCTATACATTCTTGGAATCTTCTAGCACGGTGGGGTTGGAGTGCTCGGCCACCAAATTTATCTGCACTGGTTAGTATTTCATTGAAGTCGCCAAGCATGAGCCATGGAGAAGAGTGTGTAGCAGAAAGCAACATAAGGTTATCCCATAAAATGCATCTGTGATTATAGTGAGGACTAGCATAAATAGCTGAAAGAAGCCAAGGAGAAGGGTTAGAAGGGACCTTAATCCAGGCGTGGATCTCCTGCTCGGTGGTCAAGAGGACTTCACAGGCAATCTCCAGGTCATTCCATAGCAACCAGATGCCCCCGGCAAAACCGATAGGATCAGAAATATGGACATTAGAAAAGCCCAGGTTTTCACTGAGGGTTTTACCTCTAGTTCCTCCCACTCTAGTTTCAGTGAGGATGACAAGGTGGGGGTGGTATTCATTCACAAGAGTGAAGAAATGGCGGCGAAAATGTGGGCTAGCAGCGCCACGGCAGTTCCATAGCAAGACCTTCATTGGAGGATTAAAGAGGGGGGGGAGTGGGGACGGGGTTGCCTCCCTGTTGATTACTTCCACGTTGTTGGTGATCCATCCCGGACCCAGGAGATTGTCCTCCAGTGGCATTGGATCGAATGCCAACGTTGGTATGAGAGCTATGTTGTGAGTTAGACTTGAGTTTCCTTGCATCATGAAGGACTCGACGGAGACGCGAAGGAGGTGCAGGTTTGGCTCTGCTATGATCCTCTCTGCTTGGTAACAGTGCCCCTCCAGAACAAAGGTTCTCAGGTGATTGGCAAGGCAATGGTGGTCTAGAGTGGGTAGTGGTGGAATCGGCAGGAGAGTTTCGGCCAGACAAGGGGCCATGAATGGTTGGAGGTTTGGGAGAAAGTTGGTTGTGGGAACAATTATTTGGTTCAACTGGATGGTTTGGCGGGGGCGATCTGTAAGGTGAGTATAGGGGGTTGAGAGGTAGATTACTATCACAGTTTGGCGGTTGAGGAGGTGAGCTGGGAAAGGGGAGTATTGGGAGAGAGACATCCATATTTGAAGGATGTCCGGGTCGAACCAGCCAAGTATGTGGGTGGGGTCCCTCTGGATTTCCGTTAGCAGACGAGAGTCTACTGGACAGTGGTGATCTTGAATTTCCATGAACCAGCCGGGGCTGTTGAGGGTCTGGTGAGTGGATTGATTGGGGCGAGTGTTGGGATGGTGGAGTCTGAAGGGAATCTGGGTGTCTGGGTGGGCTTCTGGGTTGGGATGTGTCCGACTTCTCAGGTTTCTGGACGTCATATTGTTTCGCCGGAGGCGGGTGCGGAGACGAGGCATTGGTTGGGTAGGCAGAAGAGTGAGGTCGAGGTGGTGTGGTGTTAAGGGGATGAGTTTTGGTTTGAGGAGTGAGAGTATTGTAAGTTCGAATAGGGTTGGGTGGGGGCAGACAGATGGGATCATTTGGGGGGGTTAAGGAAGCACTGTCAGGTGTGACAGACGAAGAAAGGGTGAAAGTTTCAGACGAGGTCAAAGGGGGGCAGACATGGATGGGTGGGGTGGGGCTTGAGGTATGGTAGTCTTCAGAAAGGTTAGCAAGGATAGAGAAATTATTTGAATTAAGGATAGAGGTGGCGTGAGGGGAGGCAGCTGACAATGGGCCAGAAGAGGCAGAAGGTGCAGGGGGGTCAGAGGAGCAGGTTGACTGGACCTGGGTAGCAGGGGGCGCTGGTATTGATGGTTTTGTATTTTTTTGCCAGACAGGGTGGTGTACCGACATGTCAGTTTTACGGCGAACGGGAGGGTGGTTTGGGGGGCGGTTGGTGGTTTTGCGGTAGCGTTCAACAAGCATCCAAGGTCCGAAATGGGTTTCAGGGGAGATGGTGGGTGTGGTGGTTGTTGGTGTGTTGATTGGAGGATTGGTCGGAGGTGGGTGTGAGTGGGTAGAGAGAGAAGAGCTACAGGTACCTCGCCTATGGCCCAGTTTGCCACAGTCAAAGCAGATTGATGAGATGCCTTCGTAAGAAACTCTTTGAGTGATAGTGCCAATCCGGATTTTTGCAATAAGTGGTTTGGAGAGATCAACTTGGACACATAGTCTGGCAAATCTCCCTTTGTTGCCATTCTCTGTGTGAACATCAATTTTCAGAAGAGTACCCAGTTTAGCACCAATCTTTTGGAGAATGGATCTGTCAAAGAACTCAATCGGGAGGCCAGTGAGTCTGGCCCAAACGACTGTGGAGTGGGTAAGGGAGTGGATGGCTTGAAACTCCGGTTCCCATTTACGCACCGCAATAAAGTGAGCTCCAATGAACCAGGGTCCTTCATTTAGAACCTTAGAGAGGTCTTCGTCGTTACTGAATTTGATGGTATAGAAATGGTTGCCCAAATCTAGTCCGATGATAGCTCCCGTGGGTTTCCACAAGGATTTAATTCTTGTCATGAAGTAGTTGAAGCCGATGTTGCGACCCATGAGTTTGACAATGATGGCTTTCAACCAAGGGGTGCGAATTCGGGCCTTGTCTTCACTGGTGAGAGTAATGGCGGGGACAAGTTCATCTTCGTCAACGGCCTCGTCATCGGAGAAGGTATCAGGGGGGGAGGGGTTGGTGGTGGGGTTTGAGAAAAGAGGGGTGGTGAGGGCATCCTTGAAGGAGAGGGAGGTGGAGATAGTACCTGGGCTATCAAGGGATTTGTGGTGATGACGTTCTTGTTGGTCGATTTCTTCGGTGGAGGGGTTTACGGGGTTGCCATTTGGCTGGGCTTGGTGGTTACCAGTTGCTATGGAGTTTCCTGTTGACGCCGGTGGGTCCTCTTGCCGGTTAGCAGACGTGCCTGACTTACTCTCTCCCTCTCTCTCTCTAGACATCTTTTAATTTTGTCTCCCTAATCCCTTTTATTTACTCGCATACCATATTGTGTAAATAGCATCATATTTTACTTTTTATCATATCTATGATTTACATTCATATTTAATGCATTTAGATTCGACTAATTTTGCATTTGTGAGTTAGTCAATTTTTATGGAATTTTTGTGCATTGTCTTGAGATGATTCAAATTCCATGTATTAAAAGTCAAATCTTTAGTTGCATTCTTGTGTATATATTGTATTAAGATTTTGTACATAAGATCATACATATTTCGCTAATTTTGTTTGTAATTGTTCACGGGACGTCAGTAAATATGTAATTTTTTATGTTTTAGCATCCTGCTTGTGTGTGTTTTTCTTACTATGTTTAATATCTTATTTGATATAACTTTATGCATGCCGATGGGTGAAAGTTGTGTTGTTCAATTTGGAATAAAATTGATTTTCATGTTTGTAAAATTCAATTTTCTATTTTTTGAACACTATTCAAAACATTTTCAAAATAATGAAATCGAACCGTTCCAAAATGAACAACACAGTTTATATTTGTTTGCTTCATATAGAAATTTTAGGATTTATTAAACAAATTAAAAAATGAGCATATAAAGTAAATAAAAATTATATCATGATTTAATAGAAGCTAATGTTTTGATCGGGTGAGTGTGGGTGTTCAATTAATGACCTTCCCCCCTTATACCTAAAATTTCGAACCAAGCATCTTTGATTATATCAAACAGTAGCGTTGGCACGAGTCAGAAATTTTCTAATTTTCCTAAAATATTAAGTGGCGACTTGAGATCTAATAGCGTAGTTTATTTCTAGCAAATATTTTTTTGCAGTAATATGAATTTTCTATAAAATTATTAAATATAAATTCTTATCTATATTTCACATTACACTCGTAAAATTAGATAAAAAACTCAAACGTCTAAATTATTTAACGCGCATGAATAGCCTTGGCGATGTGACACTTTTAATTTGAATGACAATATCAACCATTGCCATTTTATTCTGTATTAATATTAGGCACCACTCTTTTCAATATGATTTGGAAAATTGCATAGACTTTGGCCAAGTTTGGCAATTCTAAAATAATTTATCTTTTTATCTTTTTTTCATCACATCATTTCTCTACTTTTTTACACATCTTTTCATAAAAAGACAAAAAATACATTTATTTAGCGCATCCCAAACAACCCCTTTCTCTAAAATCATAAATATAGCTAAAGCCTTGCATGATATAGACTTAAAAGGCTTGTTTTTGCACTTCATAAATCAAACGAATTACTCTAGGAATCAAGAAAAATAGATTTTTCTGGGTGAATGGTTGTAGGGTAGAAATTAAATTTGTGTAGTATAAGATCTATATGTAGAATAAATCTAAATAATAAGAAGATAATTCTAAATAATTTCAAAATAATTAAGTCTGAGTTCGTAATATTACTAAATTCAAACACCAAAGGCTTAAAATCTTATTTTTTAAAAATATTTTTACTGATAAATTATACTTTGCCACCTTGAATTTTATAATTTTCTCACTTTGACCATTAATTTTTTTTACTCCTCATTTTGGCCCCTAACATTTGTAGTTTTTCGCAATGTATGTTCAAAACAAACTTCCGTCCAATTTTGGATGGAAAATGCTACATGGCACTACATGTCAAAATGATTAAATTATACTTTACTCCCTTTAAATTTCACAATTTTTTATTTTGACCTTTAATGTTCGTAATTTTTTTCAATTTGCCTCCAAAACCAATTTTTGTCCAAATTTATAAGATCCAAGCCCAAGCCCCAAAATTCTAACCCCTATCTCTTTCTCCTTTTTAAATTTATCAGCAAACTTTCATTGCTCCTTCAGTCTCTTCTTTGCCCTAACCTTTAGCACCTCTCTACCTCCATCAGCCCCTTCTGTCCCCTTTCTTCATCATATCACCATGTACAACAATCAATGTTCAAATACACCCAAATGCCTCTTTATTTGGGTGAGCTTTTATAATTTGTTTTCTAAAAAATAGAAAAATTAGTTTAGTGCAAAAAAATCAAAATTAATGGCTGTGTTTGGTTTGCCTTTGGAATCATGATTCCAAATTCCAAAAGCAAAATTTTCAAATCACTTTTCAAAATCTATAACAAAAAAACACAACTCAAAATTATTCAAAACTCAATTTAAAAATTAATTTCAAAACTCATAACCAAACACACAACTTAAAACTCAATTCAAATTTTTTTTTTCAAAACTCAAAATCAAACTCTTTTCAAAACTCTCTTTTAAAAGAAAAAATTCAAAAAAATAATTTTTTATTTTATTTTTTAAAATTGTGGAGTCGTATTTTGAGTTATGAGTTTTGAATTGAGTTTTCAAAAGAGAAAATTTGTTTAGTTATAAGTTTTAAAAAGAGTTTTGAGCTGTATTTTTAAAATTTTTTGGATTTATTTTTTTAAAATATTTAAAAAAATTCTTAATTTTATTTTTTATGGTAAATATGTTATATTTTAAATATTTATTTATTTATTTATTTTAATGTACACTATATTTATTTGAACTTGCATGTCATGAGACGGGGTGTAACCATTCCGTAATGGGGTGTAACTGTTATACAAGTAGTTACACAATTGGTGACGAGCTGATAGTCACCACAATGAGAAAGAGAGTGTTGA